TCCTACAGATTCCCAGGATACTGCAGACTAGGCCCCACGCGGGAGCCCTCCCTGGCCCTGGCCCTCCACTGGAGCCTCAAGTTTCTCCTATGGTTGCCCCTCCCCCCAGCCCTGAGGCCTCCTAGTTGATAGTAATCCTTTTGCAAAAAGAAGACCGCTGTGAGCTATCTTCCTGGGTCGGTATGTATTTTTTTTTGGGGGGGGGGACATTTTTGTTCTTCATCCAGGGTCAGAGTTCAGCCTGGGGTGTGTAGACAATTTATTCTGGGTCAGAAGCAGGTGCAGCCCAGCTGAACCCCCAGGACAGCGTCTGCAGTGGAAACTGGGGCTCTGTCCCAGCCTCCCAGGCTGACTGAGAGAAGGGTGCTCCTCGAGAAGGTCCTGCTCAGGGGATACTCACTCCTCAGGGAGGAGACTCCCAGTTCCTGGCCTCTCCCCTTGGCCCTTCTGTCCCCACCCCACCTCAGCACAGCTGTCTCAGTTTTTACTGTGTACCCCCAGGCAGGGCCCTGCCTCCAGAAGCCAAGTTAGAGGCCCAGCCAGTCTGCGCTGCTTGGGCCAGACGCCTGACCTGAGGGTCACCTCCAGATGTCCGAGATTGGCTCACCTCACACATCCTCCCTGTGGGCGCCTGGGGCCTCCTCTGGGACTGTCCCACCTACCCGCTGCTCTCCCAGGAGGGGTTTCCATAACCGCGCTCCATCCAGGACCCAGCAATGCTTTGGAGAAGGCAGAGGATGGGAGGAGAATGGGGAGGTGACAGTGAGTGGCGATTGGGGGGCCAGGAGGGTGCCTTCTCATGGAAGACATGGCAATACCCCAGGCGGCTCTCGGGCCTGCCGACCGGCAGCAGGGGGCCAGTATCTTGGCCAGGAGGCTGCGCTGAGGTGGTCCAAAACCTCCCATCTCCAGGGGGCCTCTCTGCCTGCTCCACTTGAAGCTCTGGTGCATGGTGGGTACCCGGGACCTGCTGTGAGCCCCGCACCCACCCTGTCTGTGCAGCACCCAGTCCTGTCTTGGCCTCTGTGTGAGCCTGCCCTGTGCCGGGTATCCCTGTGGGCAGGGCCAGCCCCCTCCTCCACTGGCCTCCAGGAGGGAACGCAGAAACCCTCTCCCCAAGAACACGCCCCTCCCGTCCCCCAGACAGCATGGCAAGGAGAGCACGAACCCTGCTGGCCAGCCCTGGTCGCTGCTGGAACCTCTGGGGAGCCCCTCCGCCAGATGTTTCCAACAAAAACTGCTGCACTGGCCTCGGGGAGGGCAGCTGCCTGCCCCCTTCCTGAGTGCAGGGGCCTCCAGTCCTGTCACCTTCTGCAGCTGCCGGCCATCGGGCAAGACTCCTGGGCTAGTGCCCCCGGCTGCCTAGTCTGGGCAGCAGCTGCAGGGCGGGGCCTCAAGACAGCTCCCAGGCCAGATGGCTGCCTAGCTGGCTGCATCCAGGGAGGCTCTGCCCGCACCACTGCCACACCTCCTGTCATCCCTGTGCCTGAGACCTTGCTGGGCCAGATAGGGGACCCGAGGGCAGGGCCATGCAGTGGCCAGCTCCGGAGTGCCGTTCTGGGGCTTCCTGGGACAGTCCCTCCTTGGGATGGGGCAGGACAGGAGGACTAACTCAGACCCTGAGTAGAGAGGCACAGAGAGCCTCTTTCCCACTGTCTCCTCCCCCAGGGATGTTCCTCCTCCTCTAGCCCATCCCTACCTGGGCTGGCCTCCCAGGCCCAGCCCCAGACTCTCGCTAGCAGTGTCCTCGCCTGTTTCGGCCCCTGTCCGTGCCCCACAACCTGTGTCAGGTGCCCAAGGAGCGCTTTGTCACCAGCCAGGCAGGGTGCTCTGCCCACCCCAGGGCCTCACTCCACCCAGAGCCCCAGCCGGGCCAGCCTGCCCTCCCTGCCTGCGCCGGCTCAGGGGCCAAGCCTGGGGGCACAGCTGGGCACCAGGCAGCCATCGGAATTGGATGGTGGCACTCTTGAGGACGTCCTCAGGAGCCACTCACTCCCTCTAGACACTTACTGAAACCCCCCTGGTGGCAGGAATGGTGTATGGTCACATCACCTTGGCCGGGCTGTGAAACAGGCTAAGGCTGTGAAAGGAGACTATGGCCTTGAGGGGGGTTTAGCTGGGTGGTCAGAAAAGACCACTCTGGGGTGCCTGCTGGAACAGATAGGAATAGGAGGGGGCGGGGGAAGGCTCTCTGGGGAGGGGCTTGAGTGACCAGTGAATGGCCTGGGTTTTCACCTGTGCCAGGCCCTGCGGTCACTCTTCTCATTTTGCAGATGAGGATATTAAGGTTCAAGGAGGTTAAGTGTCATTACCAAGGTTGGGAGGGGGCGGGGCAGGGCTCTGAAGCCCACCAGACCCAGGGGCTGGTACCATATGGGCCCCCAGGGACCTCATTTGAATTCAGTTCCCCCTGCAGGGTGAGGGCTTGGAGGCAGGGGTGTGGCCCTCCTCAGGGAGGGTCCCCAGACAGATGGGCCATGGGAGCCAGGATGGTCTCAATGGCCACGTGCAGTGTGAGTCCAGGGTTCCAAGCTGCAGTTGCTGAATTTAGGAAATAAAAATGCAAGATGTCCAGTCAAATTTGAATTTCAGACAAACAAGAAATAATTTTTTAGTGTAAGAATGTGCCTCGCCTGGCTGGCAGAATGGCGCGTTGGTTAAGAGTTGGCTTGGGATGACAGCTCTGAGCAGCAGGGTCCTGGTTCGGATCCCACATGAGGGCCAGTAATGCTGTGCCCTCTACAGGTAAGATGGTGAACAACAGCTCAACGTGGAGCTGGGCTGCCGCGTGCGCTTTCGTGAGCTGTTATGAGCAGCAGTCCGGTGGCCAGCGACCGATGTGCCTCAGCCGGGAAAAGCACAATGATCACAATACCAACGTGGGCCAGTGAAGCGACGTCCTCCACAACTAGACTGAAGAACAAAAGGACAGCAACTTGTCTGTTCCCCTT